ATATTTTGGCTAATTCATAGATTTTAATTGTTTTTATAGATGATTTTTTGGGTCATCGGCTGTAATTTTGTCCCGGGTTTGTTTTTCCGCCATTTTTTTATCGTTTTTCTGCTCTGCCTTGGCCAATTTTCTCGTTTTTTTGTTTTTTATTTATCAATATTATAATTTATTTACAGCTCATAGCTGCTACAGGTCACCGGCCTGCGCCAGGTGTGAGCTGTTTTTATTATTATCGGAAAGTTCACTACATTTTAACTTATTTACCTTCTACCGACATTTATTTTTAATTTATTTTTGAAATTAAAATTTAAAGTTTAAATTAAAATTAAAATTTATTTATAAAAAAAAGAAATTTCCTAAACCAATTTTTAAAATCTGTGTAAAAAAAAAATAAACTATAAGGGAGAGATTGGGCCAAAGTTTGCTGCAATAGTTGTCTCCTCCCACACTGTTACCTAAGTTTTTGTATTCACTCATTCACTCATTCACTCATTTGCTCACTCACTAATTTCTTTCATCAAAAAAAAGTAAGAAAAAAAAATATAAATAAAAGTTGAAACACTGGTTAAATATTTAAAGATAATTCAGTCACTCATCCGTTCGCTCGTTCATTCATTCCGTCACTCAGTCATGTATTCATTCATTCATCCATTCGTTCGGTTGTTTATTCATTCATTTATTTATTCACTCATTCATTCTTTTTTTTCCTCACTCGTCCGTTCAGTAATTACCTCATTCATTCCCCCATCATTCACTCATTCATTCGTTTGTTCGCTGGCCCGTTCCTTTAGTCATTCGCTTGTTCATCCATTCATTCATCCATCCACTCCACTTGGTTTGTTTCCTTTTCCTCGTTCCTTGGTTGTTTTTAATCACATATGGCTCTAACGTTACAACAGTGCCCCGTCTGCTTTAACCACTATAGAAGCACTCCAGACGGGAAGTTATGTCGGCACGGAGGTAAAGTGAAAGGACAGGAATGCTCGGGGTCTCGGAAAAAAGTTGATCCATTGGGCGCGAGGGCTGCTTCGCCTCTCGGTGCCGCATCCGACCCCAAGCCTGGGTTGCCCACACGGTCGTCGGTCGCATCGGTCTCCGGTGATCCTCTCGGCCTGGATTACTCTGGTGTTTTTGACAAGTTGACGGCCGTGCTGAAGTGTACGACCATATCCCTAAGCCATGCAGGAAGAAGTTCGCACATGATCTGAACGCCTTGCTGACGGCTGTTTGTAATGACCCTGGTGACCCGGTTCACTGGGTTAGACTCCACTGTTTTGTCCCATACGTCTTACAGAAGACTTCCAGAGGGGGTCGCCGGGTCAACCAGGGCAATCTGGTCAACAAGCGCCTAAGCGAATATTAAACTATTGGTCTTGAAACCCTGGTACTGTGCTTTGATGGGTTCAATAATGCCAAATCACAAAAGCACAACCCCGATCGGTGGATCAACGCTGTGTCATCTTGTATTGAACAGGGAAACCTGTCCTCGGCTGTCAGACTTGTCTGTTCGCCGGAGGGCCTGGCGGAGAGCTCGCCGGCCACCTTCGATAAATTATGTTCCATCCACCCAAAAATTTCGGTGGACAGGCGGGTCTTTCCCGCATTGACATTAACGGCTGGTTGCGTTTCTCCCGCCGAGATGCTGAGGGCCGTTAAATCGTTCAAAAACGGTTCTTCTGGAGGCCTGGATGGCCTACGACTCCAGCACCTTAAGGATGTTTTTTCAGGCTCCTTGCCAATCGACGACACACTGAACTCCTTAACCCAATTCATTAATTTGATCTTATCTGGAGCTTGCCCACTCTCCGTTCGCCGGTTCTTTTTTGGAGGCCGGCTAATAGCTTTAAATAAGAAAGACGGAGGGGTCAGACCGATTGCGGTCGGGAACGTTTGGAGGAGGTTGGCCGGCAAATGTGCCTTGGCCCTTCTGGTCGTGGTCGAATTCAAGACCAAGTTCTACCCGACTCAGTTGGGTGTCGGGATTAAGGGTGGCGCTGAGGCCGTTGTTCATGCGGTTCGAAGATTGGTCACCGACCTCCCCGATCAATGGGGGTTTCTGAAACTGGACTTTAAAAATGCCTTCAATGCCTTGAGAAGAGACTCGATGTTGGAGGCTGTCAAACTTTTTTGCCCCAATATCTATAATTTTTGCCATTCTGCCTATGGCGGAGTCTCTTTCCTT